CTGTTCTGTTCTTGAAAATGAACACAGGTACTAAATATTTTAATCTCCTCAAACCTCAATATTCTTATCTGTAAAACAAATGGAATTAGTGTTTCCTCTCTTTGGGTGAAAGCACTATATAAATGTCAGATTATCTGTATTAAATCTACCTGAAAACTTTGGTTAAAAAATGGTATTGGAAGTAAATTCCTCAACATACTATTTACTTACTGTCTTGGGAGAAAAAAATATAATTGTTCCACAAATATAATATTTTCTTCTTTTGTCTAGTAGAATGACTCACTGGGAAAAACATTAATCACTTAAATTCATTCAATCAACTACTAGTTTCTGGAGTCCCTCCTATGGACCAGGTGCTGCTGTATGTGACAAGAACACATCATTTTACAAAGGAAAGGAGAATCCCTTACTGCACAGAGCTTACATTGTAAAGTAAGTACATACAGAGAGAGAGAGAGTGAGAGAGAGATTTTTTCAACTACCTACAGTGAGCCGAGCCAGACACCATAGATGTATATCATCTCATTTAATATTTACCCAAACCCTGATAATTATATAGTACTGCCCTAAAATACAGAATTGGAAACTGAGACTCAGAGGTAAATTGGTTTCTCAAGATCTGAAATCCCAGTAAGTTATACAGCAGGCATTAAAATAAGAAATATCTGAGTATAAGGCCTATATTTTCAAAACAGTTACTACTAACTGAAAGAATACACATAAATAATGGTTGTAGAACAAACAGCTTCTGTCACAAGATCAGAGAACCCTACCCCTTTTACGGATGGCTTTCATTTTGAAGGGTTAGGTCTTTCAGGCTCTCCTGATTTCTAATATCTGGGATTCTGCTTCTCCATAGAGATCTACATTACTTTATTAGTCTATGATACTTTCTAAATTTTCCAGATTTCTAGATTTAGCTTGCAATGAGTCAACATTGCTGATTTTCTACACTCTAGTCTCTCCTTTCCAAACCACATCTTCATAGGTTTCTGTTTTTCCCAATTAAGTTGAATCTATGAGCATTCTGGAACTCATTCATTCTTCTAGTTTTTAATTAACAATAAAAAATACGGGACTAGAGTCTTCTAGGCTGCTCCTAGGAATGGAATAAAGATGCAATTAAAACAAAGAATCTGTTCAACTCTAATCCACTAGTTCCCTCTGGCTTAGCTAATCAACCGGTTTAAAATTTTTTCTTGTTTTGTGTGTGTATGTGTTTTAATATCTCCAGGTCTGGTTATGATAAGGGTCATAATTCCTTTTTATTAGTTTAGGTTTTTTTAAATTTGACAAGAAATATGTATACATACATATATATGTATATACACACACACAAGGAAATTTATATATAGATAAATTTATATGTCAATACAAAAAAAAATAAACGAAAATACAGGTAAAGACAAGGAGAATAACCACCTACAAAATCTCCCTACCCAGAAACAAGCTTTTGCGTAGAATCTTAATATCCTAAAAATTTCTTCCTATCTATAGACTTTCTGTAAGTAATTCAAAATTTACTGATTTATTCAATTAATTGACTAATTCAATGTATAAAGTAAGTTAATTTTGCTAAACATTTCACTAAATTGTTGTTTAATCAAATTGAACAGAAGTCCGCATCAAAGTGCTATAGGTACAAAGTATGTGAGGTGTGGCAAATACGTTACTTATTGTATGTGTGTGATATATATAGTGTGATATATATGGTGATATACATATAGTAATATATACACAGTAAATGTGGCAGACATTTTAGATAAATAGTAAAATATGAAACATTTCTAACTTGAAGAGAACCTAAATCCCTTTCTCAAATTAACTTACCACATAACTGAATCTACCAGAGCTTATGAAAATTTATTACATTTCATCTTGAGCCCCATTTGGGAAAAGGGACAAAGTTTCTCTTCAAATTATAACTCACAAAGCTACTGCAATTCTATATGCACATCATATTGATTAATAACAGTGAAAAGAAGCGCTGCCTTCAACCTGGCACGATTCTATCTTCAGGGAATCCTCAGGTTATCAGGAGATGTGCGGTTTCGTGCTGGTAACATAGACCACTGTGCTCAATTTGGGGATTTGACAAACTAAAGTTTATTCAGTAGGCTTTGGCTAATTTCCTTTGGGAAATCATCTCAGTAAAATCCATAGATAGTGCTCAAATTTTGACTTTTAAAGGGACAAATTCACAAAATTAACACTTTCCAAACCTCTTCATAACCAGAAACATATGTGGGTATACCCTGACAGACCTATACGACTTAGAACTCGCTGGTATATGTGTGACATAACTGTTCCAAAGTAAGGCAAAACTTAGGTCTTGAACAGAAGTCTGAACACAACTCATCTCTTACATAAACTCTTGGTCCCACAGATGTACATCGAATTGATCAATCAGTATTAAACACAATTTTTCATAGCACATTTAGGAAAAAGGTAAGCTCTCAAAGGTATAATTTAGAAAGGAACAGAAGACAAAACTGATTGTTGAAAATCATTAAAAAGTCTTTTGGGTCCATTTTTAAAAAAGATATGAGCTATGTTAATATTATGTTGGCACCAATATTTCCATTTATGACCGTACTTTAACTGAAATTAATTCTTTAAGAAGATAGTCTGTAGTTATAACTTAAAAAACACCTCCTTAACTTTTTTTTCCTACTGTCTTCTTTTCATTCCCGTTCTCCTTCTAAAATTTAATTAACGGTGATTAACAAAGTCTTCTTTCCTACCTATTATAACGGCAGCAAGCAAACCTCTGCCCTTCGCTGCAGAGGGAGAAATTCTTCGGTGTCTATTCTTCCGTATCTGCACCCCACAAACCTACTGAAGCATTCTTTTTGGCTGATGGAACATCTCTAAGCCTCTGCTTCAAACTTTCTTGCTCCTGTCCCGTATTGAAAAACAATTCTCCATAAGTTACTTGTGTTTCTGCACATCTTGGAAGCAGAGACAATGAATGCTTTTGTTCTTGAGTATCTTTTCAAGAATGCTTGTACAGTGAACAATTGTGAAAGACAAAGTAGTTCTCCCTATGGAGCAAACAGCAGGTTTGTTTACAGTCCAGGATAATAAAGATAATTTCTCCCTCTGCAGCAAAGGGCAGAGGTTTGCCTGCTGCTGTTATAAAAAAATCAAGTTTCCTAAGCTCAGGGAGCTTCAGCTATGACGTAAACCCACTGCGTGTGTACGTGTCACCTGGCCGTCATCATATCACCCTGTAGTAACTGGAGCATGGGGAACTAATGCAAAAAATGACAATACTCTGGCTACTGTTATTACTGTGAGTAATAAACTGCCCTTTGTTTTCTGCCAGCGTCCGTGAAATTGTGGCCGATTTTTCACAGTTCTTGACATCTTGTTTCCTCAGTTTCTGTCCTTCTGCTTGATAAGATCTTCTCCACCCAGATCCCTTAGATGATGACTCATTTGTTTGGTATATCTTTCTTTCAATTCAGTTTCTCTCCACATTTCTGCCGCCTTAGTTGACCTTTCTGTCTAAGGTTCCCACTTCTCCAGGAAAAAAGAAGATCTGATTTAATGATAAGTGAGAATAAATTAAAGGCAGAGGGATAAAAAGGATGAAAGAGAAAGTACGAATACAAAGGAAAGTGTAGGTTATACATGGACTATGGGCCCATGAGAACCCGTACGACAGCTGGGTTTTCAATTCTACTCCAATTTGAGACATCACTGTAGAGACCGATTATGTCTGGGGGCTGAGGAGCTGCATTACTGGGTGGGGTGCCCGTTCAGATAAATACAGTTAATGATAAAATAATCATTATTTCTTCTTTCAGAGAGTTCCAGAGGAATGAGCAGTAGCTCTACACGTAGAAATTTACTAAATGTAGATTTCCAAGTCATGTACCTCACAGATTTTGATTCAGCTGAGTTGAGTGGGGGCCCCGAATTTTTCATTTTCAGTGAGTTTTTTGGTGAATCTGCTAAAGTTTGTCTACAGAACATTGTTTGAGAAACTCTGCCCCAGACACTGCCTCTTGATCTGGTATTACGCCTATTTTCTCAGTCTCAAAGAGATAGTTCAACCTCAAATATATAGATTAGTCAGTGACAAATGTTAGTTGATGGCAGTGATTTGCCCTGGCAGACACTCAATTGCCAGGTGTGTTTTGATAGTTATTTTTTGGCTCATGAAATTGAAAGATTCACATTAATATGAAAAAAAAAACCTGCTTAAAGTGTTTTAGATTATATTTGGAATGATTCCTTCTTTTAATGAGGTATACATTATTAGCAATGGCTATATCCAGAAGAGTGTATACATAGAATAAAAAAAAAAAAAAAAGGAAGCTGTAACTTATCAATACCTTTGGTAAATACTATTATCCCAAAATTATTCTATTTGAGTAATTTAAATAATGTAAAAATTTTTGAAGGACTAAGGGGGTATTTTAGAAACGTACAGGCTATTTCAGTTATTACTATTGAGATCATAAGATATAAAATAGGATATTAGTGAAAAATATCTTAATCATTGTTTGAGATGCATTTAGAGAGGGTGAACCATGGCATTGGTAGCTCTGCAGGTATTTCTTAATATTCTAACTTCCTACTAATGATACACTCGGGAACATTCTTTATTCATTTTCTCAATATTTTTCAAACGAAATAGAATTAAACAACCCAAGTAATCGAAGTATCACAGCACTAGCTCTTCTCTTTGAGTACAGACCAACATACTTAATTTCCATTGGGTTTGATTGGGAGTTTCATGCTTCAATTTAACCAGAATACACCCAGGTGAAGCTCACGAGAAAGAAGAAAATGCCATGTGGGATTACTTGGGACAACTAATGTTACATAAAACAATTTGGTCAATCTTCTAACATGTCCACAGTTTCACTGTCAATAGGTGCTCTTTATCAATAACAGCACCTCTTAAAAAAACAGCGACATAAATTTCAGACAGTGTATTTCAGATGTTTATCTTGAAAGTTATGCTGATAAAAGATGACAGGACTTACAGTTTACGACAACTTTTACTTTTTTCACGTCTGGGAATGACACATCATTTTCCGCACTGCATTCGTATTCTCCAGCCTGGTCCCTTGTAATTCCATAAATGTCCAAATATTGTCCATTTTCAAATGGTTTTGCTACAAGAAAAAAAGTACAGCATGTTTAATTATAGCCGCCTGAGGCTTCATTCAAATAAAATAACAATCTCATGTCTTCCTATTAGATACTGCTGACAAAACAATCCCAAGTGAAACTGGGGAATTATTAAACCCTTTGTTCTCCTATGTTCAGAGGAAAAGTCAGAGAAAAAAACAGAAACTGAACAAGGGATACTATAACAACTGTTTCCCCAGAACAGGATATACATGTGTTCTTTTTAATTGATTGTGGTCTCCTAACCTCGTCACACATCAAATAGAGCTCTGCACATTTCTGTAATTGAGTTCAACAACCTTCTAGCAGTGTAGATGAAATTCACTAATATGGCTTGGTACATATTGACTTTTATACAGTGTAAGCTAGCAACTTGACACTTAACCTAACTAAATGTTGCTTTTCTTTTGGGGAAATTTCATAGTCATTCCCAAGGTTTCAAGCCAGATGGCTTGATAAGAGTATAGAAATACCTTAAACCATTGCCACATTTCAGTTTCCCAAAATTACTATTTTTTTTACGAGAGGCACACTGCATATGCTATATATAACTGATATGATAAACCTCAGAAACAAGATATGATTCTCAAACTAAGGGTTAGGTAGTTATAAAAACTAAATTAGCTTTATTTTTTAATATTCTAGGAAAAACATTCTTATTTGACTAAAAATAGCACTAGAGTAAAAATATAAAAACATAATCACAGATAAAAAAATATGCAAATGAATGAAATTTGAAAAAAAATACTCTTTTTTGAAATAATAGAATTTGTATTTGTTTGAAAGCAGAGACTCCTTGGGGCGCCTGGGTGGCGCAGTCGGTTAAGCGTCCGACTTCAGCCAGGTCACGATCTCGCGGTCCGTGAGTTCGAGCCCCACGTCAGGCTCTGGGCTGATGGCTCGGAGCCTGGAGCCTGTTTCCGATTCTGTGTCTCCCTCTCTCTCTGCCCCTCCCCCGTTCATGCTCTGTCTCTCTCTGTCCCAAAAATAAATAAAAAACGTTGAAAAAAAAAATTAAAAAAAAAAAAAAAAGCAGAGACTCCTCAGGCAGGAAGGATCCTGATTATCAGAGATATGGCAGGGGAAGAATGGGCCTCTGTGAATTTCCAGAGGGGGGTCTCTTCTCCCTCCTTACACAGGTCTTGAAAAATCACATTTTACTGCATACCAAAGAGAATTGGAAAATCCCATTAAATGGTCTGTTTTGAAAAGTCAACCTTATTTTTGTTTCCATCTTACTCTCTTGCCAAAACTACTATAAAGCTGTAGAAGTTAGAAAACTAGTAAGAAGATTCAGTTTTATAGGAATAAAGTATTCTGAAACTTAGGTATGGTGCTCCAAATCAAAAATCTTTATCAATTAACAAAAATGTTTTTCCTGTGGGCTCCCTTCTCTGGGCCTGTATTAGTCACTAAACTGCTTGCCGTCAGGTAAATATGACTTGGTTAATTGAAACCTGTACTATTTAGAATACATATGATTAAGTAATCTCTCCATTTATCTGGCTGACCCTAAGTTGTACACAGGGAAGAGTTATACTTCTAAGATGATAGTTGGCTGATATGCTATTTCAGGTATGCCGAGGTGAGTTTACAAAAGCAGCATGTGTCTTCAAATCCATATTCTTAAAATCTGATTTTATAAGTATCTTTTTAAAAATTTTTTTTAACATTTATTTTTGAGAAAGAGAGAGACAGAGCATGAATGGGGGAGGGTCAGAGAGAGAGGAAGACAGAATCTGAAACAGGCTCCAGGCTCTGAGCAGTCAGCACAGAGCCCGACGCGGGGCTCGAACCCACAGACAGTGAGATTGTGACCTGAGCCGAAGTCAGACGCTTAACCGACTGAGCCACCGAGGCGCCCCTTTTATAAGTATTTTTTAGCTCAACCTAATGCCCTTGTATGACTCCATCCACTAATATAATATTTTCTATTCCTTCCTTTTTATCTTATTTTCACCCTTACAATGAAGAGAATCTAGGTTTAAATGTGTCTATAAAAACTATTGAAACATAGGGAGGACAAAATCCTTATTCACATTCAAGAATTTTTTTTCTTTTTTTAAAATCTTTTTTAGTCTTTATTTTTGAGAGACAGAGAGGGAGAGGGAGGGAGACAGTGTGAGTGGGGGAGGGGCAGAGAGAGAGGGAGACACAGAATCTGAAGCAGGCTCCAGGCTCTGAGCTGTCAGCACAGAGCCTGACGCGGGGCCTGAACTCACGAACTGCAAGATCATGACCTGAGCTGAAGTCAGACAGTTAACCGATTGAGCCACCCAGGCGCCCACATTCAAGAATTTTTAAAGTATAACTTGAATTATAAAGTAAGGGATATTAAATGAAAATTAAAGTATGGGTAAAATTGATATATTATACCATAATTAAATAACTTAGTTGGCCAGTAAAAAATGAAGACAATCATGTATAAAAAGGTAAAAAAAAAAAATTGTGAAACTTTTTAGAAACAAATTTAAAAGGGTCTAACTTATTTTCAATATTAAAGTGTTACATGAATATTCCTATTTCACATCTATTGACTGTTCATCCCTGGGATATATATCTATAGTCAGTGGTTTGAAAACATCATTGAAAGATAGCTTTCAACTTTGAATTTCTGATAGGGATCACAGGCTGGGATAGGTCCTTCTAGCCTGCTGTCTCCTTAGACGTTTCATCTTTCTGCTGCCAGGATACTTTATCTTCCAATTCACCCTGATAACTTCTCATCTTTCAGGTCTCTGAATAAGCAATATTTCCTCATAGAAATCTTTCCTGATTTAGTCACTACTCAATCTAATAGTTCCATGTTACATACTTTCAAAAATAAAACAAAAAATCCTGCACTAATATTATGTGGCAAATACATGCTTGCTATTGTTTACTTAATTATTAGGAACTCTTAAATTAATTCTGTTTTTGTTATATTATAAGTTCTGTGATATAAAAGGCTACATCTTATTCCATGTTTAATATGGGCTTTGTGACATTTGTTGACTATATCATTAATGAAAGATAACATGATAGAAAGTCCATAAAATATAACATTTCATTTTCTCTACCTTCTCCAGCAGATTAATTTTCTTACTCCAATAATTATTAACCATGACACCAGCAATAAAAATAATAATATTTACCTGTTATTGACTCTTTATTATGTGTACAGTACCATGATAAATGCTTTTCATTATGAATTCCTCAGTTAACCTTAGATACGTGTATCAGGTAGATTCTGTTATGTGGAATAAAACTCTATGTGGTTAAAGACGTTAAATATCTTGTTAATGGACCTAGTGACAGATATGAAATTCAGAATTCCAAAACCTACGTGCCTGATCTGTATCCCACTGAAATGCTGCATTAATTTTTTCATTTGTAAATGGTAATAATGAAAATGCTTAGTGTAAGAACTAAATTAGGGCATATGTGTGTTGTCCTTCCTCTTAGAACTATAAAGCACTATCTGGATGCTAATTTAATTTTTGAATCATTAATTTTCCTTGTATTACTTTTCCGTAGCTGCCATAACAAAAGACCACAAATTTACTTGTTTAAAACCATATGAGTTTATTATTTTCTGTAGAGTAGAAGTCAGGCACAGGTCTATAGTAATTGGAATAAAGGATCTTCCAAAAACATTCATGTCCTCAGCATTTGGGTCTGTGACTCTACTGGGTTTCATGCACAAAGGGACTTTGAAAATGTGTTAAGTACCTTGAGATAAAGAGACTATAATGGATGGCTAAGTCTAATCACATGAGTCTTTAAGTGTAGCAGGTGGAAGGGTGGGTCAGTGAGATGTGACATGAGAGGACACTAGTGCTGACTTTGAAGATGGAGAAAGTGGAACATGAGCAAAGGAAAACTCTGTCCTCTGGAAACTGGAAATGGCTCTCAGCTGACAGCAAAAAATTGATTCTCTAGAGCTGAAAAAAAAAAAAAACACATCCCGTCAATACTTTGCTTTTAATCCAGTGAGATCCAGATTTCTGAACCATAAAGGTATAAAAGAGAAGTGTTTTAAGCCACTAATTTTGTAGTGATTTGTTATAGCAACAGTATAAAACTCAAATAGGGTCTCCTTGGACTAAAATCAAAGTGTCAGCAGTGCAGGATCCCTTTCTGGAGGCTCGTTTGCTCATTCAGGTTGTTGGGAGAATTAAGTTTCTTGCTTATGGTACTGAGATTCTCATTTCCTTGGTGGAGGGCTATTCCTAGCTTCAAGGGGCGGGATCCCTCATTCCTTGGCTCATAGCCCCTTCCAAGCCAGCATATGGTGGGTCAAGTCTTCTTCCATTTTGAATGCCCACTGCTTCTTCTCCAGTTGCATCTCTCTGAACAGCTCTTCTGCCTTCCTCTTCTAGTTTTAAGGACTCATGTGATTAAACTGAGTCCATCTGCCCAATCCAAGATAATCTTCTCATCTCTAGTTCTTAACTTCAATCACATCTGCAAAGTCTCTTTACTATGTACGGTAATGTAGTCACGGGTTCCAGGGATTGGGACATGGACATCTCTGGGGGCCTTTATTCCGCCTACCACACTTCTTCATTAGACTCTGCAATTATTTTGCACATACAAATTGTGATTTGCCTATAATTTCCAAAGATAGCGGGAAAAGAAAATGTATGGTCAAATTGATAAAGTTGCTGAGCTCATTACTACCTCTGAAAAATATGAGTGAAGTTCAGAAAAATAAACTTAATTAAGACATTCCTTTGGAAGCAAATAATTTTCAGGAGAATGTACTGCAAATCTAACAGGGAATGTGATTCAGGGGTGTTGTTAGAGCACAAAAGTAGTGGGGTTTGAAGAAGCAATGAGAGGAGGGTGTATGGGCAGATAAATTATAGAAGCTGCCTACTGAAATGACTGCAACAGAGGTTTCAGAAGCAAACAAAACCCCGGAAATAAAAACTCAGCGTTTTGATTTGTTTTGTTGCATATTTATGCATATTTAGTACCAGACAGTACTAAAGGAAAGTTC